GCGATATGGAGGAGCTAGCTCGACGGCGGCACGCAAAAAAAATGCGAGGGAGAGGGGAGGTGCTCAGCCCTCGGTCCTGCGCACAAAGAAGGTGATGGCCGACAGCAGGATGTCGGAAGAAGTTCCGCACATCAAAGAAGGCTCAGTCGGCAGGAAGGAGGCCGAGAATAGGTGTTGCGGATGCGAAGCACGAAAGGAGGCTAGAAGGTCAGATCTGGTTAGAAAGGGGCTTATGTTGGTCGGATCTGGTAGCCGACGATAAAGAAGTCCGGTGAAGCGTCTTCGGTAAGAGAGGAGTAGGCGGTGATGTTGGCCGAGAAAGAGAAAAGGAGAGCCGAGGGTGTCATGGGTCTCACCGGCGGCTAGAAGGAGGCGCCGGAGTGGTGGTGCCGGTCTTCACCGGCGTGGAGGGAGACGAAAGAGAAAAGGAGAGCCGAGGGTGTCATGGGTCTCACCGGCGGCTAGAAGGAGGCGCCGGAGTGGTGGTGCCGGTCTTCACCGGCGTGGAGGGAGACGTCGGCTGGGGGGAGGGGGGCGGGCTAGGGCTTTTTTCGCGAAAAGGAAGGGTGGCGGCGCTGTCGCGTGCGATTAGGGGGAGAGGGAGAGGAGCGAGGTTTTTTTTAGATAATCTATTTATATTATATTATATTATATTATAAAAATAATAATTATGTTATTATAATTATCGTTCGTGTATTCTTCACCCGTATACGTCCTCACGGCAAAGTGAACGTCCTTCTTGGCTAAAATCGACGTTCCGGACGCATTGACGCAGTCCGTTTCGTCATTCGGGGTCGTTTGGGCCACTTTTTTGACTATCGTGTCCAAAACTATAATTCGCGCATTTTTACCCCGCCCGCGAAGCCGTAGCAAAGTGGACATCCCCCGTAAGTAAAATCGACGTTCCGGACACAGTGGTGGCGTCCATTTCAACATCCGGGGTCATCTGGACCACTTCGTCAAGCGATCAGCCCAATTTGAGCCAAAATCGCGCGCGATGCGCCACATAATATTTTTTGTGCGCCACATAATATTTTTTCCACATAATATTTTTTGCCTCGATCGGAGTCGTTTGACGTGTCAAATGCCGACCGATCTTCACCTGAGCGAAAGCCATAGCCTAGCAAAATGACCCTGACTACGTGCCCCTCAATCACGCGTCAAAAAGGTATCAGGTAAGTGTCTCGAGCCACTAGACGCTGCGGACGGACCGTAGATCATCTTAAGCCGTGCAAGTGGACACTCTACACTCGTTACATAAAAAATTGATGCCAACACCTTGTTCAACGTGATCATAAATAGAAGAATGTTTTGTAAAATCCTACTTAAAAGCAATAACAAAAGATAACGTGTTTGGAGAAAACAAAAAACATTGACAAATAAACCTTATATGTTTTCAAGGTATGTGAGGCTCGAGCCCATGTGTTTAGATGACATGATGATTCATGATTTTTCTAAACTTTCCCCAACATGATTGTTGTCATCATGGATATAAAGTCCTCCTATTGCATATATCTAGGTCAAATGAAAGCTAGAATCCATGAAGTTGAGGCTTCCTCAATCCCCATGACATTCTGCAGATTTGTTCTGATCCCTTTTCGAGGTTACAAAAATCAGTTAAAATATGTCTATTGTTACCTGCATTTTGTGGTTAAACCAATTTGTTTCTTTGCACAGTGGGTATGAGTCACATATCAAGAAATATGCTAATATTCTAATTGATCAGATCAGAAGTAAACAAAACTTTATGGTTAACATAATCACGAAAAGCCTTTTGTCTGAGGAAAATGATATAGAGGAAAAAGATTAATTAAGAAATCATAAAACTACATCGCATAAATCATAGAGGCGCGAAAGAAAGTTTAGCTACACATGATAGAAAGAACACCAGAAAAACATCCCAACAAAACCATTATTATAAGTAAAACTTAAAAGTAAATACTAACAAAATAATTTGTTCTCTATTCTGTAGCAACCAACTCCTCTCTCATATAATAACCTCTTAAAACATATAAGAACAATATAAAGAAAAAGGTAGAAGAAACCTTAGGGCCTCAACCCATAAAGGAATACAAAACCTAAAGAAAATTCTCAAAAATATCTTCTCTAGTCGTCTCCAACTCTCCTCTCCACCCAAGAACACTTCAATTCACGCCCTAGCTTCCCTTTTAAAGATTTAACAAAAATCAACATGAAAAAAACTTCCAAAATGAGGTCTTGCGGTTCATTCCTTGGTCATGCTAGATCCCGGTGTGGTCACACACAAAATTGGCATGGTGACACCTAGATCTGGTGTGGCATGCTCAGATCAGGCGTGGTCACACCAGACAACACTATTTCTGTGCATTTTAATTCTGCTTAGTGTGTTTGACACTTATAATCAGCAAAATAACAAAAAAATCATTCTACAAGCATAAAATTGTGATAAATAAGGTAAAATAGTATGTAAAATGCATGACAAAAAGTATGTGAAATCATGTAGAGTTGACGCATGTCATCAAGTCAAGCAAGTTACACATACAAAACGGTGCCAAGGGTAGTTACAAATATGAAACAACGTCAGCAATGATTATAAGGTCAAAATATATCCTATTCAATTTCAAATATGTAGAGGGGTAATGACTCATAAATGACTATAATGTTCCCATCAAATGAGGGACAATCAAATAATTTATGAGACCCATTCTATGACTTAAAAATAGGATGATCCTTTATATTGAAAAAACCACTGGATTTATTTCCTGAGAATTAGTTCTTTCTCTTACTTTCTCTTATTCATCTAATTTAACCAACACTTTATTCTTTGGCTGTAACTCGAAAGAATTTTGAGATTCAACTCTAGCACGTTTCAAATTTTTGTAATTTGAAATTAAATTTTAGTTATATTTCTCTAATAGAGGGAACATTAAAAATATTTTATTTATTTTTATTAGGAAAAATTATATCCTTAACCACTCAATTCTTATGTATTTCCATTTCTAAAGCCTAAACTTTAAGTTCTACATGCATATATCACTAGAAGTATGCATGAAAATATGCATTTCACTTATTTAAAGGCAAAATTTAGGTGATAAATATAAAAATAATTAAGAATTAAGTGATATCCATATTAATGCTTTTTTTTAAAAATTATTATGAGGAATGTAAACAAAACTTTTGGGGTATTTATGTACATACCACCAATTTCTAGTATTTAAATTTCTAACATCTAAATTTTTTTTTTACATTTATATCATATAAAAGAATCAATATTTTAACTTTTAAAAATTTTCATGTGTAATTAATGTGATATACTTAAAAATTAAAGTTTAGGTGTTAATGGAAATACATAAGAAGTATTTATCTAAATCTTTCGTAATTTTTTCTCTTTTAATTTTTAATGCCATCTTTGAGAGGCATCAATAATAGTAAGAATTCTGAAATGACAGAGATAGCAGGGATGATGGAGCGAGAGATGATGGGTGCTAAAAGAGAGGATTGTGATCCTTCGAAGGTCCCCGTCCAAACTCCTTGCTACGGGACTTTTGCACAGCCAGCCGTTCCCCCCGTCGCTCCTCCTCGCAGCTTTCCTCATTTCTACCACCAACTGCCTCCGGTGCCACCGGCGGCGTACCAAGCCATACCCGGTTGGTTATTTTATTCGTTACATGTTTCTTTCTTCTCAGAGCTCGAATTAGGTTTTCGGTTTACTTTTTTAAGAAAAAAAACTTTTTAATAGAGTTTATTACAGTGATTCCAGTTGGATACCAATCTATCCCCTACGCGATAGTGGCAGAAGGCATACCCGTCAGAGAGCGTCGCCTTCCATGCGGTGGCATTGGCATTGGATGGGTGTTGTAAGTAACATTTTCATTTTTTATGCTTCTTTCGAAGTTTACTACTAGAACCGTTTTTGTTGTTTGCTCTATTCTTACGCTAATGAATGATCTTAGGCCCAATTTGGCTGATTAAGTTGGAAAACTTGTTATGGAAAACGATAAGAATTGTTAGTTCTATCACTTAGTTGGGGTAGTTAGACATCAACGATGGTTACAGGCTCCACCCTCTAAAAACTTTCTCAATTGCAATGATTTTGACTTCATGCACGAAATGAATGAAATGAAATCATCATTTTCAAAATAATTTTTTATATCAACAAGCAACCAAATGAGGCCTTTGTTGTGTTGGATAGAGAATTCTTTGGTGATGGTTGATTCCAAGGACTTTTTATTCACCTTTTTATTAACACTTTAATTTCTGTCGAAATTCAATCACGAGGAAATGGAGTTAAATAGGAAATTTCACGTCATATAAATTTACTTTGGGGATTGGTTGGCTGATTTTATATAGAAAAAATGGTTTTGAAAATAATAATCTCATTTTCAATCACTTCATGTATGGAAATAAGAACATCACTTTTGAGAGATTTTGAAGGTTTTCTTAGAAATTTAAAATTAGTATTTATATCTAATTATATCGAAGTAAATTATGGAGTTTATTAAATTAATTATTTCTTGGAACATGTTATAAAACTCCAACAAACCAACTGAGAAAAATGTTAAAAAAACATTGAATTTAAAATGTTATGGAACATGACATTAAAAGGATGGGGAAATTTTTTGGACATGGATATGTTTGATGGGTCTGAGAGCCTTCCCACACCACTGCGGGTTATTAATGGCTTGGCACTAAAAGGATGGAGAATGTTTTTTGAATATGGATATAGGTGCCCACGCTACCGTGATTTATAGATGCCTTGGCAATGCTGCTCAATTTGGCTTTCAAGCGGGAGCTTTAGGCATCATGATGATCCTTTCAACTGTGGGTGTAGCTTAAGATAGCAGGTTGGCCAAATATTGTGATCGATTGCAAAAAGCAAACCCTTGGGGTGCATGGTGGGGTGGATTGGGGTGGGGCCCGGTGCTTTAACCTAATGTTCTAGATCGATACATACTATTATAGAAGTTGTTTCTATTGATCTCTTTTGAAAATACAATAATATTTTAACATCTTATTCGTTAGTATTCTCAATCTCACTCTCATTATGTTCCAAGCATAAACTTTGTTTCAGTTTTTTTCTTGTTGATTAACAAGTAGGTCTTCCTTTACCATTGAAGGAACTTTCTTGCGCCTAATCACATTACTTCTTTTGGTATGGTGCTCCTTGTTTTGTGTACACCTCCATTGTTCTTTTTATCACAATAAAAATATGCACGGGTTCTTGACTCAAAATTTAACTCTGTATACTTTCAAGATGAATCCTTCCTTTTCATATTAGAATCAATCATACCAAATAGTTAAGACCATTGACTCTTCACCAAAAAAGGGAAGTTTACATATAAAGCAATTACATTTTTAATTTAGTAGTAAATATAAAGAAAGTACACAAATTTTTAGACTATTATTGGCAATCTCCAGATTAAGCTAATTCAAGAAATTATAAAAACAATATTTGATGCAAGAGCCTGGGTCACGGTACTGTAGCTGCTAGTACCATGGACCATTTTTCCTTTTTGATCCCTTAACTTTTCTATTTCCTTCCTACTTCTATTTCTTTTATATTTTAATTCCTTACTATTCTAACTACTAGAACATATTATAAATTTGATGTTTGCTATTTTAGGGTTTAGTTTTTGGTGAGTTTTATTTCAATTTTTTGTCAGGACAACCGTTAATGTCTGATTTTTCCTTTTGAGGGCTGTATCTGAGGGATTGAGTAATCCTTCGGCTATATCTCTCTCCCGAGGTGGTGATAATCTTCATAGTATCTCCTTCCACATCCTCCCCCACTGCTCCCGATTGCTGTATATCGCTGCAGCCGGCCACAATAGCCTTCCCTTAGCTATTTTTGCCGCGCTAGCTTCCCAGTCGCCTCCCACTTCCTTCTAGCTTTGCTGCCGCCCAAACCACACCTCCTCTCTACTGTCCCATCCTTCTCACTGTGTCGCTGCCTCTCAGGATAGTCAGGGAACGCCTTCCTCCTACTATTCTACCGCTATCCACCCCCCACCTCGCTGCCATCACCCGGGAAATCCTCCATACTTGTTGTCTCTGCATTTATGTGCTGCCCGCAAATTGTCACCAACATTTCTTTGTTGCTGCCAACCATTCTGATCCACCTAGCTGACCTCCACCACCTTGGGATACGCTTTAGGTGTGTTTTTGTATTTGTTATAACTTATTTTCTGTTTGAAGAGTTGTCTGTAATTCTATTTAAATTCAACAATAATATTTCTATTTCTGTTGTGGTTTGGGTTAACTCCAGTATCAATATGGAAATAAAAAGTCTAATGATTTGAAAATCATAATAATAATTTAGTCAATTACTAATGAAGAGTATGTAGAAATCAATGTAGTATATTTGAGGATGAGAAATCCTATTGATTTGCATTTGAAACATGCTTTCAACAACATTGTTTCAAACCATGCGTTAATTTATTGAAAAAGGGATAGTCTAGTACACGAAGGTGATTCATAGAACTAAAATATCAATAAGGCAATCGTTTTCAGACAATACTTAGCTCATTAAAACACTATTGATTAGAATTGGATCTAAAGTTAGTGATCAAATTGTAGTAGTAAAAGTTGTTTGAATTGAATATCTTTGATTGAAAAATTGAAATATTAAATAATTATATATCAATCAACATATGATTGTTTGCTTTGTAAAACTTATGTGCTATTGTTGGATGCACTTAAATTACATAAATTATCTTCTTACTAGAGCTTATTTGAATTAAACATTACTAAATCAAGTTATTTTTTTATTAAAATTAAAAATTGGAAAATCAGAGACGCGGGTAATGAATGTTTTGTTAATGAAGATCCAACTTGGAGAGAAGTTGAACAATTATCAATTGAAGTTGATCAAAATTGTGTAATTGTTTAGAATATGAATCAAATTATTTTGATCGGTATCTATTTTTGTTGCCATTACTCAAGAAAGAGAAATTGAAGTTGCCTTACTTAGAGAAGAAGAAGAATAAAAATAGAAAAGGTTTGAAGACAGAAAAATTCTATTTGAAGGAGAAATGACTTATGTGAGTGAAAGGGAGAATGATGAATAATAGTTTCCATTGAGTTTCTTTATGGTGAAAGGGAGAATGATGAATAATAGTTTCCATTGAGTTTCTTTATGAGATTTGAGATTTTATGCAACTTTACCTTCTGTGTTGAACTAATTGCCTTTTAAATTTCAATATTGCTTTTAATTTTTTCATGAAATCTTGGAGCTCCTACGTTTTATATCTGTCTGCTACACCACTTCTAAATTTTTATTAATTTATATGCATGATAGGAATTGTTAGAAATTTAATTTTGTAGGTTTACTTTTAAAGATTAATTTCATATGAAGTATATATCTTATGTGGTTTAAATTAGATTTTATTTAAGTTATTATATATATATATATATATATATATATATGGAATTTGAAGTAATATAATAAACTGATACAACAACAACGAGCCTTTATCTATGTGGGGTCGACTACACCACTTCTAAATTTTTATTAATTTCTATGTATGATAGGAATTGAAAGAACTTTGATTTTGTAGGTTTACTTTTAAAAAATAATTTCATATAAAGTATACATCTTATGTGGTTTAAATATGATTAATTTGAGGGTTATTATATATAT